GACCAGAAGGCCCCAAGCATCCTTCCATCTTTCTCCATCTCCTCAGCACTGGGATTACAAGCAGGTGGCATCATACCTGCATTTTCACACGGATTCTGGGTGCTGAGGTCGGCTTCTCATTCTCACAAGGCAAGCACTTTGAACTGTGCCGTCTCCCCAGTCTGTACTTTGTGGATTTCTTGATGAAAAACACCAACTACTCAACATGAGACGCCGAGGATGGCGTGGCTGTTTGGTGCTTGGGGTATAGAGAGAACACACAGATCCACTGTGTGCCTCCAAAGCTGTAATCCTAAATTGAAACAGTGTAGAGGCAGATGACCAAACCCGAGAACTGCTTCTGTGAATTCTTGTGCTTTTTTGAGGCGACTGGGGATTCCACACTGGAGGTGTTTGGGCTACTAAATAGCTCAGAGTCAGTGTTTACAGAATCCATTCAAATTTTTCAATGATAGGGCCTCAATCCAAAGAGCAGAAGCCCATGATCCTATGGTATTTGGCACTACCAAGGGGACAGCAACAGAACGAGTGGAAAACACGATGTCCTAAGTACTGTTTCTTTCTGAACAGGTGATCAGCAACAATGATCAAGGAAAAAAATCCTCCAAGGATGGCTTTTGAAGCTGGGCATGGTGGTGCACATGGATGTGTATGTCCCTTAATGTGGAGTACACAGGACTTGTCCTTCAAAGCACTGATTTCTTGAGTCATGATTTTGTCTTTGTGTCCAGCTAGTGATCTGGAAATGATACTGTTGGTTCACAATTAGGCTGAGAAGGCTCCCCAAGAACAGACATGTGGGTTGAGGAAGCTCCAAGGCAGGATCTACTCATTAGACACAAGGATGTGTGTGTGCCTTGTTCTATCTCATAGCTTAGAAATCTGCATCTGAAGAAAAAGAAGAGAAAGGAATGTTTTTTGAGCTATTGATTTGTAACAATGTATAACAACTGATATTTAAAAAATTGAAGCCTGATGTAGCTACCAGACCTGTTCAATGGGGGACACCTTTACTTCTGCAAGATAAGAAGGTCTGGAGGTCCCCCTAGGGACAGCAGTCCTGAACAAGGTGTCTAAAACAGGCAAAGTGGTACGTTTTGTTGGTGGGTTTTATCATGGTTAAAAAGAACTCGTGAAGGTTAAATGGTCAACTTACAGCAGTATTTGTGGATCTCAGAGCAACAGGAGGCAAGGGCCAGCCAGTGAGCTGAAAATTATACTGTTGGTTTACAACTGGCCTGAGGAGCCTCCCCAAGAAGAGACAAGTGTGTTGGTCAAGGACCCAAGTTGGGAATGGAGACGGCTACATGTCATGGGCAACTGGCAAGGACTGTAAACATCATTCCTTTTTAAAACTTATTTTTCAAAAGTTGGTAGACTGTAGGGAATTTTCTCTTTAGCCATCACTGCAGAGAGTAGGGGAACAAGTCAGGGCATTGCATGGCTCTCTCACCGTCTGACAGGGTCATGAAAAGAGGAGGGCACAAGGCACAGTGTTGGCAGCAGCCAGAGTCACGCAGGGCACACTGCATACTCTCCAGATGAGGTCGTCACTCTCTGCACCTATCTGGACAAACCTGTGAACTCTGGCTGGGGACTCTGTGTTCTACAAGGCAGTGGATGAGAGCAGTGAGCCTTCTGTGTCCCGAGTCCGTCTCTGAAGACAGAGCTTTGTGTGCCATGTGTCAGCACCCAGGATACACGTGGGCCTCACCTCATGCTTTACTACTGTGATTGTGAGATGGGTCTCGGGGTGTCCTGAACTGTTTGGTAGAGCAGAGAGGAGAGAAGGGAAAGGGCGGGTGCTGGGGAAGCTCAAAGGCAGGACCCGCTCACTAGACACGAGGATTGTGCGTGCCTAATCCTAGGTCATGGCTTAGAAGCCGCATCTAAGAAAAAGAAGAGATGGGAATGATTTTTAAGAGTTTTTTATTTTATTTTATGTGTTTGAAGTTTTGTCTGCATGCATGTATGTGCACATCATGCAGTACCCGCTGAAGCCAGAAGTGAGTGTTGGATGCTCTGGAACTGGAGTTACAGAAAGTTGCGAACCAACATGTGGGTGCTGGGAACTGAACTGGGTCCTCTGTAAGAGCATCCTCTGTAAGAGCCATCTCTCCAGTCCCCAAGGAAGGTTTTGAAGAACACTTACAGGGCAACAAAGTTCACATTCTATCTGTATGGTAAACTAGAGAAGTTCTCAATAAAATTTGCAAAACAAAAATGAATGCACATCTGCCTAGAAAGAAAACTGTGGCATCGTACAAGAGAGCTAACACTCTAGAAAATTCCCTTCTTTTAACCCTAGGGCTGTGTTTACAGAAAGGGGGCAGATAGATGGTATGTCTCTAGATAGATGATGATATGTTCTTAGATGGTAGGTGATTAATAGATGATAGTTATGTATGTGTAGACTTATAAATGACAGATAGTTGGGAAGTAGATACTTAAGTAGAAGATAGATAGGAAGGTTGGTTAGCAAGTGTAAGGACTTAGGCAGGCAGTTATTTCTTTATTTTCCTGAGACATGTGCATGCATGTGGACAGACAGACAGACAGACAGACACACACAGAGAGAGAGAGAGAGAGAGAGAGAGAGAGAGAGAGAGAGAGAGAGAGAGAGAGAGAGAGAGAATGGTAAATGGAGAAGACTCTTGTGCTAGGAGTGATCTAGCCAGCTGATAGACTGTCTATACCATCATTTGAATGTCCTGGAAAGCAAAACATTGTGTTAGCTCCCTTATATAATGGCTCTATGATTATCACAACCGGTGAAGATGCAAAGGACCACAGAAACATGGGGTCCTGGCTATACTGTATAGGGAAGCCAGCCTGGCACAGCCATGCTATTGTGGGTCTTGAGGCCCATTGCACAGGTCCTGGGTGTTCCTCATTGCGTCTCTTTGCTGTGTGACTTTTCCTGGTGGAATGTGAATAAATGCCCGTTTGCCTCAGTTAGAGCACTGACAGACCAGAAGCTGATCCTAGCTTAGAGACCCAGTGAGTTCATTGGGATTAGTTGCAGGAATGTGGTGACTCATGCAAGTTGCGTCCTTACTGTCTCTTGCACAACTTTCAGTCAGTTGCCTGGAACTCTGAAATTTCTTACGTCATATACGAACGATCTCAGGAAGGAGCCTCATGAGTCTTCTGAGTTCCTAAGTTCTATTAGCCCTGTTAAGATTCCTTCGCTTCTGAGTTGCATGGCTTTGTAGGAGCCAGAGTCTGTGCCTTCTTCTGGTTGAAGAACGTGACCACACACGTGAATTTTGCTTCATTTAGATAAGCACTTCATAGGCACCACACCCAAGTGTCACAGTGCTGGTCTCTGAAAGTACAGTGGTGGTTTGAGTGAAACTACCCTACAGGCACAGAGGGAGTGGCACTACTGAGGTGTGGCATTGCTGGAGGAAGTGTGTCACCAGGGGACAGGGTTTAAGGCCTCAGGTGCTCAAGCCTGGCCAGTGTGTCTCAGTTCATATCCTGCTGCTGCCTGCAGATCAAGATGTAGAGCTCTCAGCTCCTTCTCTGGCACCTGTCTGCCTGCACGCCACCATGTCCCACCATGACAATAAAGGACTGAACCTCTGAACTATAAGACAACCCCAACTAAAAGTTTTCCTTTATAAGAGTTGCTGTGGGCTGGGCGTTGGTGGCGCACGCCTTTAATCCCAGCACTCGGGAGGCAGAGGCAGGTGGATCTCTGTGAGTTAGAGTACAGCCTGGTCTACAGAGCGAGTTCCAGCACAGCCTCCAAAACAATACAGAGAAACCCTGTCTCGAAAAACCAAATAAATAAATAAATAAATAAATAAATAAATAAATAAAGCTAAAAAAAAAAAGAGTTGCTGTGGTAATGGTGTCTCTTCACAACAATAAAATCCTAACCAAGACAGAATCTAACATTGTATCTGAAATCATTTCTTACCATGTTACCATTGCCATCTTAGATATGGAGTAGCATCTTTGCCAGCATGCTGAGCTATGCAGGGTTTCTAAATATTAATGTGTTCTGCTATGCAATATTAAAGGTCAGCGATTAACATCACTCTGGCCTTGTTAGGAAATCCCATAGGAATTAATCTGTCAAGCTTTGGGTAATAGATCCACATTTTGTATGTGGCTTTGAAGGTTCCAATTTCATCACTGACAGCAATTCCTGTTGTAGTTGCTGTTTATGTAGAAGACTAATGCTATCATCTCAGGAAGCTCTACTGTCTATGTCTGAAGCTCATTTGTGAGAATGTGGCTAGTTTAGCTGGTAACTCACACCTGGTCTTCGCCACTGTGGGGAGGAGTAGATAGTCATACCTGGGATGTAGCAGAAGTGTTTTTCTTTTTTTATGTGGGCCTTGGGGGACTTTATATAGATTACTAATTTCATTTTTTTCCTAAGAGACAAGGACCCACACTTTATAATAAAAGCATTATCATTTAATAATGAGAACACTATAGAGGCAGAGCAGTCAAAGAGGGACAGCTTACTTTATGACCTCGCAATGCCAGACGTTAGCCTGAAAGGCAAGCAAGCTGATTGAGCGCAGAGCATAATTTAAGAATTCTGACACATGACCCTCCATTTGAGGGGACAATTTTACATGTTGCCTCCGCCTTATCTTAGTCCTTGCAGCTTAGGTTTGGTTTTCTCAACAACATGACTATTGTTCTTCATGACTATTCTACAACTCACTGGCTGCATGACCTTGCAGGCCAGCTTGGCTATTTGGTAACTTTAGACTCTGAATTTCTAGTTTGGGCATCCTTTAGGGGGCTTGATCATTTGGAGGGGTAGCTAGACTAGCAAGCATTAGCAGGGGTCTACTGTTTTCTCTCCATTTGTATCTGACCTAGGCTGGGTAAAAACACCTTTGAAAATGAACCATCTGGCTTATGACCAACTGTGTGAGTGGGTGGAGCCAGTCTGAGGGGCAAATGCAGTGGACCCTAGCAAGGCACGATTAAGACTCTCAAGACTCGCTTTGTCTTTCTCACACCTTCAGTCTGCCGTCCGTCCTCCCCCCTCTACCTCCTGAGAACTGAGACTGAAGTCATGTGCCACCATGCCCAGCTCCTATGAGACAGGCTCTTTTGCATGCCGGCTCCCATCTGTTTATTTTTGAGGTAGGTTCTCTTGTAGCCCAGGCTAGCCTCCAACTTACTACGTAGTGGAGGATGACCTTGAACTTGTGACTCTCCTGCCTCTACATTTTGAGAGACTGGCTTATGTGGTACTGGAGATGAAACCCTGGGGATGGAGGCCAAGGCTTTACGCTTGCTGAGCAAGCGCCCTTATCAACCGAGCTGCATTTCCAGCCCTAGAATGCATGCTTAAAAGCAACAACAGCTTAGGTCCTTTTGGTTTCCATAATGCACCAAGGGCCACTAGGTCAGCATGGGGTTTTCCTGACTCCATCTGGCTCTAGATCCATCTGCCTTGGCTGCTCTGCAGGTCACATGCATAGGTATCCTTCCTACTTCACTCAATCCCCTGTCCTTAGTTTTAGATGCAAAGAAGTCAATAACCCAGGATGTGCTTCTAGATTTAGACCGCGACATCCCTAAAACTCGGGGAAGTCTATGAATCGGAGGAATGGGCCAAGGGAGTCGTGCATGCACTCATTCATAGTACAGGTTGGCCTCCAACTTCCTCTGTAGCTGAGGCTGACCCTTTAGCCTCTATTGCCCGGTGTGCTGGGATTACGGGTGTGAGCCATCAAGACAGGGCTGACCAGGGTGCTAAACCTGGGAGTTCCCAGAAAGCAGCCCTGTGGGAATCCAGACAACTAGTCCGGGAACAGGTCACGGCTGTCCCTTCTATGGCCCTCCCTGCCACCTCCCTCCCCTTCCAGGCATCAGAGTAGAACTCACCCTACCTCACTGCACACAGAAGGCTGCACACTTGAGGCCCTCTCAGCAGACGTCTTTTTAAAAAGACATCTCTCATTTATGCTGGAGAAGGGAGAAGATTCATTAAAGAGAAAAAGATAAAAAAAAAAAAGGCCCCCACCCCAGGCTTGATGAAAAGGGCACCTCCCGGTTTGGCTCTCCCCAATGGTGGGACCTAATTACCAGCGGCCCTGGCGGGCTGGGCCTGGGCTGCCAGCTTTGCAGAGTACAGCTCTTTTAATTACACACACAGTTCCCTGCTCTCCGCTCTCTGGCAGCCCCATGGCCGGCACCTGTGCTCTCAGACCTGGGGCCCGGGTCGTCCTGCAGATGTCCCGGCTCTTTTGTTGGTTTCCTATTAGAGGCACTTAATAGGCAGGGACTGGGGACAGCCTTGCTGAGCGCCTGGCAATGGGCTGCAAACATTGTTCCCTCGGTGGGTAAAGGGTCAAATGGTCTCTCCCCTGCCCAGGCTCAGCTGGATAATTGCTGGTGATTAGCAATTTTAATTACCAGGTGCGAGGGGTCGCCCCTCCCCCATAATTGGGCAGGCTCTTAATAGTCCTGTGGCTGCAACCAGGGAGTGCCTTTTACCAATATGCTCTGAGCCTTTTAAAGTTAATTAAATTAAAGCCCCCAAAACTGCCAGAGATGGGTTGGGGGAATCTTCTGCTCCAGACACCAGGTTTCCTGTAACATTTGTCCTACGGATAACATGAACCACAACTCCAAGAGCAGAGATTAACCCCTGGCAAGCAGTGTGGCCCCCTGTGCCTGTGACAGTGGTGACACTGGTAAGCAGTGTGCCCCCTGTGCCTGTGACAGTGATGGTCCTGGTAAGCAGTGTGCTCTCCTGTGCCTGTGACCATGGAGGCTCTGGTGCCTCGGATGTTTTAGAGAGCAGCCCCAAGACACCCCAATGTGCTAGCTTCACACCCCGACTTACAGGATTCCCGACTCTGTCCTGACCCAGGGCACAGCCTCAGTTTCTCCAAATGGGTCTCATTTACATCCAACCATCACAAGCATTCATTTCAGTTGAGCAAATGCCTCGGAAGGTCAGAAGCTTGACAATTCTGGGGATGGATATGGGGGTTGGAGGAGGAGGAGAAGGAGGAGGAGGAGGAGGAGGAGGAGGAGGAGGAGGAGGAGGAAGGGGGAAGAGAGAGGAGTATGGGAGAGAAGGGGGATAGAAGATAAGGAGGAAGGAGAGGAGGGGGAGGGGCCACAGAACCTCTACGTCCCAGTTTCTGCTGTGGAACATGCTTTGGCAGCTTGGGAGGTGGAAATCCAGGGCAAAGAGCACAGAACTCTGAGGAGGGGTGGGGGTGGGGGCAGATACACAAAAGCGGGGGGGGGGATGGGGCTGAAAACTAGAATGAAGACCCAGTGGTGCCTCTCCCTGCTGGGAGAGGACTTGGGCTGGAAAGTCTTCCAGAAGGCCCTTGATCCACAGCTGCCCAGCACTAGTGGCACGCAGGAGGTCGGGAAACCTTGGTTTCTTTGGCCCCGTGTTTAGCAGTTTTAATGTCCATTAACTTCTTTCTGGAGAACTTGTAGAACGCTCTGTGTCCCCCAAGATTAGATTCTGCCCCAGCCTGTGCCCCAGAATCTTTCCTTTACTACAGCAGGGTCCAGTCCTGCTTTCGGCTCCCACAGTCCAGTGAGAATCTAGTCACTGAGCCAAGGGCCCAGGAAGCTTCTGGAACGGTGAGGACGAGCAGGCTCTGTAGAGCGGGAGGAGGCCAGCTGGACCCAGGTGCTGGGCCCTGCAGGTTCACAGGGGTGACACAGACCAGAAGCCTGCCCAGGTAATCGTCAAAGTGAGTCACAACCCAGACTTGTGGGTGCATTGCTCTGTAATTCGTGACTTAAAATTACCCGTTTCTCCCCTCCTCCGCCTGCTGACTTTTCCAGCCCCCTCTCCAGTGTCATTGGTAGAACACCAGCTTCCATGTACATGAGTGGCTGTGTATGTAGAATCCTGTCCCAATTTCTACCTACAGCCTATCTCCTGTACTTATACTGACCTGGGACCTGGGGACCTGTGCAGACCCTGAGTCTCTCTGGGTCTCTGAAAGGCGGGGTGTCTATTGTATTCTGCTTTTCAGCAGGAGAAGGCTGGGTGTCTGGACCACACAGGGCCTGGACAGCAGCTGGAAGCCATGGTTTTCCTCAGCATCCCCATCCCTTCTAGGTGCTACAAAGGCTGGTTTCCATCAGAGACATTGTAATGGCCCCATATTTGAAGACAGCGATGACTAGGGCATTTGACTCTGGCCTCTTTGTCCTGAAGTTACAGTGGCGCAGATGGGTCATGGAGGTTTATTTTCCAAAAATAAAAGGATAAGCTTTCTGTCCTGCTTTATTTTCTCATAGCCTCTGGGCCCTAAGCCTTCTGATGCTACTACAGATAAACCATCAAGTATCATCACAGAAGGTCTAAACTCACCTGTGTCCCACAAGTTTGCTTTCCCGTGTATCCACACCCATGGAAACAGGTTGGATTCCAAACTGACGCCTGGCAGGTGTAAGTGAACATTTGTATAAGGTGACCCAGTCTGCTGGGGTCACCATCATCATTGATAAGTGCTTTTGCTAAGCCAGCAGGGAGTTAGTTTCCTTCAAAACAGTTTGCGCGCATGCACGCTGATCGTAAGTGGAGGAAAGTGGGCAGTGAACTGGGGGCAAGAGAGGGACCCGCAGCCTGCCCACCCGACCTATCGTTTTTCAGTTTGACACACATCCGGGGACAGAGACCACTTCTTAATCACAGCAGCAGAAACTGTACACAGAGCCTGTGGAACCGCCGGGATGTCTTAAAGAAATAATGAAATTCCTTTAGATATCTTTTGTTTCTTGAAGTTTAGTGAAAAGATTGATTTCTGGTCATTATTTATCTATTGTCAACTTTAACAAACAGCTGTAGTGATAATTGCTGGATTTCCACTCTGTGTTTAGAGGGAACTGTCAGTTCACAAACATGGAATTGTGCTATTATCTATGTCTACGACGTGTTTCTGTAAATATACAGACTTAGTGCCGGTTTTCAATAAGTACAAAAAGATGCTAATTACTACTATAACTATGTTAACACATCAAAATACATAAAAATAAATAACGAAAATGCGATTTTTCTGTGAGAAATTCAAAAATGCTCCTTTTGAGGCAGCCTGTCACACATTACTTTGGAAGCGGCACCACCATCACCTCTGCTTTCTTGACCTCAGTTACAGCTTTCTGGCCCTCGATGTGGGGGGTGCACAGAGAAGTCCCTATTCTTGGTGGTCACATCTCTAGGATGCCTGGCCTTCAAATGTCTCTGGCTTTGAGCTCCTATAGGCACTGGGTCCTTGTGGCACATTCCTCAGGAAAGAAACAGAGCTCCAACTGAAGAGTCACTGAGCTCCTCTAAGGAAACCTGATTTGGGGGACTATGCTGGTCGGGAAGTACAGCTTTGCACTGTCTCTGGTCTTGATGCTAAGCTGGAAGGGGCCTATTAAACGATCAACCTTTTCTCCTCTTTGCCTTGCTAACAGAGTCCCTCAGTGTAGGCTGTAGGTCCTGAAAGGTCTATATGTTTCACAGGGGCATCTTTTTGTGCTTTTTGGCCACTTCTCCATTTACTCTGAGTTTCTGACTGAAATAATGTTTGCTTATTGGCTGGTTGAGGGTGTGTGTGTGTGTGTTAGCACATGTATGTTTTAGCACATGAATGCATGTCTATACCTCAAGACCATGAAAGATAAGGTTTCTACAGTAGACAATTAGATTCTAGCAAGGAACCAAAATATGTATCTATTCAGTATCACCTGGGAACAGAACCAATAGGATGCACATAGGATAAATGAAATGTACATATATATGCATATATATGTACATTGCATACATATTATAGACACACAACAGGGAGAGAGAAATTTTTTAAAATTTAGTTTTATGTGTGTTTTACCTACATGTATGTCTATGTAACACATGTGTCCAGTGCCCGTGGAGGCTAGAAGATGGTTTTAGATTCCCTGGTTGTGAGCTGCTAAGTAAGTATGAGGTCTTGAACCTGAGCCCTCTGAAAGAGCAGCCCATGTCCTTACTGAGAAAGCAGAGAAAACAAAACACAAAAGGAGGCATAATGCCAAAGTCAGTGGATTAAGGGAGGATACAGAGATTTTAAAGCAATTAAAAAAAAAGAAGCAGAGATAAGCAAACATCAAACCCATGCTAGTAGTATAATATACAAACATATCAATGATGCATTGAATGTAAACAGACCAAACTCACCAGTAGCCACAGAGACTCAACTATATGCTGTCAACAAGAAACCCACTTAAAGGTAAATAAACAAGCCAAGAGCAAAGGGGTCAGAACAGATTATGTGCCAGTATGGGGCCAGAGAGATGGCATAACCTGTAAAGGCACCTGCTGCAAAGCCTGAGTTCACTCCCCACAACCCACATGGTGAAGAGAAGAACCAGTTCTCACAGGATGTCCTCTGATCTCTACATATGGACCGCAGCATGTGTGCACCCCCCATACACACATAAATATACACAATATTTAAAAAATTATTCAAATGTGATAGGAAAGGAAGGCTGATTGCTTGTGTGGTATCAAATGAAGTAGACTGCAGAGCAAGAGTGGTTATCAGGGATGGAGAAGCATTGTTGGTCACCCAGAGGCCACAATAAAATATACATGGATCTAAAATGAGAACTCCAGAACTCACAAAGCAAAGCACATACCTGGAAGAGGCCAACAATCAAACTCACACCATATATGGATTTTCCTGCACCCCTCACCCATAATGAACAGATTAACAGTGTCTCAGTTAGAGTCACTGTTGCTGTGATGGAACACCATAACCAAAAGCAACTTGGGGAGGAGAGGGTTAATCTGGCTTATACTTCCACATCATGGTCCATTATCAAAGGGAGTCAGGGTAGGAACTCAATCAGGGCAGGAACCTGGAGGCGGAAGCTGATGCAGAGGCCATGGAGGGTGCTGCTTACTGGCTTGCTCAGCCTGCTTTCTTATAGAGCCCAGGGGTGGCACCACCCACAATGGACTGGTCCCTCTGCTGTCAATCACTAATAAAATGCCCTACAGGGTTGCTCACGGCCCAGTATTATGGGGGCATTTTCTCAATTGGGGTTCCTTTCTCTCAGATAACTCAATCTTGTGTTCAGTTGATAGCGCATACAGCAAGGACAGAGATGAGGCAAAGGATGCAATTGGACAGGCAGATTTGATTGGTACCTACAGCCCCTCCCCCAACCAGCAGGATATGTCTTCTTTTCAAGTGAATGCGGAATATCCACTAAGATAAAACACATTCTATGGCCTAGAACAAAAGCTTCAGGTTTTTTTTTATATGAGTTATTCAAAGCATGTTCTCTGTACATAATAAAATAGTAACAGCAAAGTAACACTGAAACAATCTACAGATACTTGAAAGTTAAATAAGATATCTGTAATTAAAAAATGGGGGGTCACCGGGCGGTGGGGGCACACGCCTTTAATCCCAGCACTTGGGAGGCAGAGGCAGGCGGATCTCTGTGAGTTCGAGGCCAGCCTGGTCTACAAAGCTACACAGAGAAACCCTGTCTGGGGTAGGGTGGGGGTAATTAGGGAGATGGCTCAGAGCCTAGCAGTGCTTTTCACTCTTGCCGAGGACCCAAGTTCAGTTCTGAGCACCTACATCAAGTGACTCACAACCATCTGTAACTTTAACTCCAGGAGATCTGACGCCCTCTTCTGGCCTCCAGAGGCACCTGCACTAAAGAGCATACCCACACATAGATACACATATGCACACATACTACTAAAAACAAAAGCCAATCTTTTACAAAAAAAATTACAAACTAAGACTTAAGTGGAAATGTTGTGAACTGAACTAAAAGGGAAGCTTATTATATTAAAATATGCGAGAAAAGTTTAACCAAAGAGGAGAGGAGATTCATTCAGAACATAAACGTAGAGATCTATAGTGTGAAATGTTTTGTTGGAAAACAGTAGGACTTCCAAATCAGAAATCTGATCTTTTGCATCTGGGAGCTGAACAAAGCATACATCAAACCCAAGCAGAGAAAATAATGAAGATAAGGGACCAAGTTAAGCGGAGAGCAGAAAGACAACAGAGCCGGTTCTCTGAGAAGGCAAATGGCTAAACTGCTGGTGAGGGCACCCGCAGTAAGAAGGAGGAAGAGGGAGTGTCCCGGCAGGCTCCATGTTTGGACCCTTGATCCCCAGCCGACAGTCTGTTTCAGCAGGCTACAGAGTCTGGTGATGAAGACTGGCTGAAGGAAGTGCGTCACTTGGAGGGGTGGGCTTTGAGATTTTATAGCCTGCCCTACTTCCTGTTCATCCTCTACTTCCTTCCGGCTCCACCTAGAGGTGAGGTGAGGCGTCCTAGCTATGTACCATGGCGTTTCCTGCGCTGCCCCCTCCCCCTCCTTGGCAACCTGTGTCCCCTTGAACCACAGGGCACCATAAACCCCGCCTCCCTTAGCTGCTTAACCCACTTAAGAGAGAAAAAAGCTATGGACACAGAACTTGGGAATGCCTTGTGCACGTGGCAGAGCATAGCTCTCCCCTCCGGCCTGGAGCTTACCACACTGTAGTCCCACCGTGGAGTTTGTGGTACTCCTCGGTTCCTCCAGGAACTAGTGTGCAATGGTTACACTGTCCATCCCAGGGTAGTCTACGGTAGATAGTGATGCCCCTCCCCAGGGGGAGCTGAGGGACTGCTCGGTTTGATTGCCTGCTCTTATCCAGGGATTATCCGTAGGGCCATCCCGTCAAAGGTCATGCCTCCCTGCCCTCTGCCTGTTCCGCCCCGCTCCCCTTTGAAGCAGGGGGGAGAGAGAGAGAGAGATGGGGGAGAATTGTGGGGACATAGTTCTCATCAGCTGAGAAGCAAGAAGTCTGGCATGTGCTGGAGAGATGGTTCTGGGGATAATAAGTAAATAAGTAAGTAAATAAATAAATAAAGCTTGCTGCCCAAAGACACAAGCCTGACGACCGGAGTCCGATCCCCAGAACCCGTGTTTCCGGCAGCAGCAGCTGTCCCAGTGAGGACTGTGTGGTGGCCTTCAGGCTTCTGCCTTCTTCCAATGGTTGAAGCCGGTGGGCTTGAGGCCCCGAGTCAGGGCAAGCCGCGTGGGAAGGGCACAGAAGTGAGGCGTGCAGGGGGTAGAGACCTCCGCTCAGCGCCTCACGATTCTCAGCCAGCCAGGGCCCAGCCTCCCCGTCTGTACAATCTCTGCAGTGAAGTCTGGAGGCTGTAGAAAGAACTGCTATACAAATGCGACCTCCCGTTACTGACATTATAAGGATATTACGATTATTATTATCCCACA